CAGTTACCTATTATCTTATTACTATTGAGATTGTACTATATATATATATATATATATATATATATATATATATATATATATATATATATATATATATATATATATATTAGTAATTACATAATGTACCACAATTAAGTATAGATTTATACTATACGAGTTGTTTATTTCCAATGTTAATTCTAATCATCAGTCACAATCCTTCAGTAAACGGGAACAACAATATTTTCATTCAACTTGTAATATCACAACTAACAACTAATTCTTTTTTGTAATTAATCAAGAACTGTTTAATTATATTTGTTTGCACAGATATAAAAATTTTTTTGATTATTTTAATTGTAATTAAAAAATTGAAAACATTGAATTCCCGTTTTTGGAATATGTTAAATTTCAAACCCATTTTGAACAATAAGAAAGTTTGATTTTGGTACGTTTTAGATAGAAAGATGGTGTATATTTAGAAAGAAAAAAGTTTTCAAATTCTAAAAAAAAAGTTTTACTTTTAGCTTACAATAAGATAACGATAAAATGAATTTATTTTTAATTTACCTACTAATATTTTGCATACATTATCTTCAAATCAAATGGTTTAGAAAATGTCTCGATGATTTTTTTTTAAATTATTAAAGAAATGCAAATATACATTACAATTTTTAATATTATGGTTTGTTTTTGAAAAAAAAAAAAAAGGAATGGAAATATCAGATACATTGCTTGTTTTAACAAATGAAATAATAATGACTTCGATCTCACGAAAAATTAACTCAGGGTTTGCTCTGGAAATAAACGACTCATATAAACCATTTAAAAAAGAATATATTACAAAAAATACTTCAATAGAAAAAAATAAATAAATGTTTTAAAAATGAAAGCGTTTAATAATGTAATAATTTAAAAATAATTTATACAACATAAAGAAAAATAAATGTAATTAAAAATAAAATAGTTATATCTTTTCACACATTACACCAACATACAATATTTACATTCAGCACAGGGAACTCCATACATTGACGCTCTAGTGCGAATGGAAAAGTAGGATTATAAAAGATCCCAGCGCTTCTCTCTTAAACGGGTCACTGGTATGGAAAAGCATTGGTGAGTGAGTGTGAGCGCTGAAGACTCGTACTCTCAGGACTTGAGTGGAGAAGCTGGTACCATTGTCAGAACTCCAGTAACCTCGTTTGAAAAGGTCTTGCAGTTATTCCTGTTTCAACCTCCTTAGAGTATTACATTGATGGTGGATGCTGGAGAAATATTGTGCCTAGAAGATTTGAATTATCGGTGTAAATTTCTGATGAAATTTAGAAAAATTTTTTAGAATAAGGTCTAGAACAAACGGGATGTTAAGGTCAGGTAAGGTTTTGTTGGTTATAAAAAAAAGAACATTGATTATTGTTCGAAGGACTGTAGACATGTAGCGTTTGATATTGGAAAATTTAGTTGTTCTGCAAAGTTCTAGTACCAAGTTCCATTAGGTTCAAGAATTTTCTCGAAGATTAGTAGTTTGCTGTCAACTGAGAATTGAGAATTTCAAGTCAGTGGTTTATGAATTGGTCTTACCGTTGCTTAAGCTAGTTATTCTTTAAGTTTTTCTTCTCTTTTCTCTCTCTTCCTTACAATTTTGATAAATTAATAAGTTCGGAAACTTATTATAAGATGATATGGTATGAATGTGCCTTACAGATTTAATACTCAGTACCCTTAAGTGTTTTGAAATGTATTATACCTCAATAAAAATATTAATGCCAATAATTTAAAAAAAAAATATAAGATGTTTTCAAAAATATGAGACAATAATCAAACAGTTAAATGAGGCAATAATGCAGTAATTAAACTAATTCTTAACTGTTTTGCTAACGACCTTTTTTACTGACATCAATTATTTATGCATTTCTTATGAATATTAATATTTTTTTTTATTTATTGATTATTAATACAGTCTGGCAAACTGAAGGGCATTGTTACTAGGGCTATATTATTCATTCACACAATATGTACATAAGAAAGGAAAAAATAAAAATAAAAATATAAAATAATATACAAGATAAGTAAAATAACAGATTAGCCGAATGGTAACAAAATAAATAAGACATATTCACACCTATGTACAATATTTACATTGGCCCAGGGGACTCCGAATCAAGCTTTGTCCCCCAATGTGGAAGCCAAAGCAAGACTCCAGGAGATCCCAGTGCTTCTCTCTCAGCCGCGTCACTGGTATAATATTATTAATTAATAACTGAGAAGTGTAATATTTTTTTTTTCCTTATGAATTTCTTCAATATGAAGTTTTTCTCATCCAAAGTCCTGCTTCAGCAAGTCACTCCATCTCTGTCGGTCCATTGCATCCTCTTCCAACTGTCCCATACCAGACATACTCTCCACCACTCTTCCATCTAACTGGGGGTCATCCTCTCCTTCTTCTGCCCTCTTCATCGCAATACATAATTATTTTTGGTATCCTATTGTCACCCATTCATCTCACATGATCATGCTATCTGGATCTCCTTGCTTCCATCTACTCTAAGATATTTTGTTTTACTTCCAATCTCTCCCTTATAGTTGCGTTTCTTACCCTTACGATCCTCGATATCCTAGCTGTTCTAGTTCGTCCCTTTCATAGCTCGTCTAGTTCATAGCCCATGGTCATACTGAGGGGCTATGTCTCCGAATTAGTATGCCGAGCATTATGCTTTCTAACAAAGCTTTGTATATTAGCTTTTTTGTTTTTAGTAAAATATTGCTGTTCCAGTGTAAAGAATTAAGTATTCCTATATTTCATTATTACCATTTGTGATCCTTTCTTGGAAATCTGCTTCTTTTACACCATTAATTTCAATTATGGATCCCAAATAAAAAAAAGTGTTCCAATTTACTTAGATGGCATAATCTTGGGTCGGTGCTTTCCTTTTTTGTTTGCACATATATTTTGTTGCAATCTATTTGAATGCCTCCAAATAATGATCTATTATATGAACCTTTCAGTTTACATAATGACTATTTCATTTTCAGCTTTTTGTAGTAAAATCATTTTAGTGATATTTATAATTTAAAAAATTATAATGTTTGTAAAGATAATGAGTAAGTTGATTCCGTAGTAGGAGATTGCAGTGTTAAATAGAATATCACTAAAATTAATTAACAAAATGTTGAAGCTTGAGTTAGTCATTCTGTTACTGAAAGGTTTACATTACCTATTTTTTAACTCAAAAAATAAATGTTTTCTTTTATTTCGCAACCTGAGAAGTAAGTTAATAATTAGAATCGAATATTGCATTTGTAATTGTGTTAAGGATTCCTTTTTATTCTGGTTGTGTCATTGGTATATATCGGGCATTTTCCATTTTACTCAAATTGGAAACGTAAGCCCTCCTAATAAATTGTCAAGCAATAAATCAGAGTAACCAATTGTTACAAGGCAAGGGCACATATATATTCCACGGTTCACCGTTGAATTATAAACCACGTTTTAGGTTTTTAAATGCTAGTTGAACATCTTTAAATTTTTAACCTACATATTGAAGAGCTTCCGTCAGTTTCATTACTGTATTTATAACTCTTGAAACTCTTCTTATTCTGCAAGAATAAGATTTTAAAATGTTATTTAAATCCTCATGAATTTATATTGGCTGAATTTGTATTGTGTTAAGACCATAATGATATATTTAATTTATTCCTATTGGAATAACAATTTTATTATATTTATTCTGTTTCTTGACGTATTCCAAATCCAGGGTAGCTTTAAGTTCTTTTTAACTTTTGTTTTACTTTTTTTTCTTTCTCTTGTTAAAATTTAATTCAAGCAACTTGTTAGGGGGCGTGGTTTAAACGTTGTTATAAAAAGTTTTTTTTTTATTCAATTTCATTATCGGGTTCTTTCCAATATTTGTTTAAATTATTTGTCGTTTATTTATTTTATTTCATCATTATTCTGCCGGAAAGGCAATGCGAGTGTTATGCCTCATTGGGTAGCAATGGATGAATTACAACTCAATTAGGCCAATTACATCTTATATTTTTACACAGCCTGCTTTTCGTTTTAGTCGACGTTCTATTCCATCCTCTATGGCTACCTCTCGGATGCAGGTTCATCTCTTTTTCCCAATGAAAAGCGTGTTGAACAAACGAGATCCTTCCACCCGTAATACGAAGGCTTTGTATTACGGTTATATCTCCTTAGTCATTAGTTGAGGAAGATCGCTCTTCGTCAGAAAGTAAAACTTCGTCTCCCTCAACAACTTGGCTCTCAGTGCAGCAAATGCGGTATATACAAGAACGATATACTCGATGGTGGTTTCCGGTACTCTGCAACTTGGGTATAGGAGATCAATTTTCTTATCTTATTCAACGAGCTTTGCTCCGAAACCCCCATGTCCCACGAGTAACTATGAGACCGAGTAGTTCGGGAGTCAAGTCCTAGTTCCATTACGGCTTGAAATACCCCATTAGTCAATGATAATTAAATTTTAATTTTTTCCCTGACCTTGTGGCTAATCTAGGGCCACACAATAATGGGAGTGGGGATTGCTGGATCCTTCTCACGTAGTACTATGCGAGGTAAAATGGATCATAGTAAGTGTAGTAAAAATTTATAATTATAGTTTTACAGATTTACAAAATTTTAAAATAAAGTATCTTTTCCATCATCTCTCCATCTGGTTTTGGTCCTTCCATGGGATATCTTTTCTAGTATTGAGTTATTAGTTGTTGTGCAGAAGGTTCCTTGATCGATTGTTTAGATCTAAAATTATCTCCCATGTTAACCTCATTTTTTTCACACAATGATATATTGATTGACTAGTTTCTGTAAGCAGTTCCTTGTTGGTACTTCTCATCCAAACATTAGCACTCTGACCCCAGATTGCTCCGATTATCGTGAGGAGGATGTTCACTTCAATTATTCTTTCTAGGACTATGATTAGTGCCCAGATCTCACATTCGTATGTGTGTATATACACTTATATTTAAGAAGAACAGATCAAAAAAATATCTTGAGGATGGGGTAAGTTTCATTCGCCATCGATGTTGGGGACATATACACCCTTGTCTTAATGTTTTATGTTAGGGAATATTTTGAGCTTCCGAGAATACTCGAAGACTTAGAGAACAAAATCAAAAACTGATATACTTCGTGATTTATTATTTACGGCCAATTACAGTGTCTTTTCCTTTCCAACCGCAGACGATATTTCCTCGGATTGCACCTGTGCCAAATCATTAGTATTGCCTAAACGCAAGACAAACAACGAGACCTAGGGGGTCTTGGTGTTGACCTTGCGTCAACGAACCATATTTATTAAATATGTTACTTTATATTTTAGAAAAAAGTTACAGAATACGTACATTTAGGTGTTTTACTGACTTAAACTTAGTAAAGTCCAACCAAATTATTAAAATAACTTGAGAGTACATTAAGGCATTGTCAAAAACGATAGTGATAATCTCCCTTCCTTCCTCCGATTATATGGAATGGAAGAGTTGTAAAGAGTCGTTTTGTTTTTCGTGGGTTCATTCATGAACTAAACTAATTTATTTATCAAATTAGATGACTTGAATGTATTCAATGACGCAATGATACTTATTTGGTTTGCTAAGTGAAGAAATGAATTGTGAATGTAAAAGTTATTTTATTTGGCTATTTTAAACTTTAGAACACCATTAACCTTACCTATCATCCTAATCCTTTTGTACAATCCCTATCCAGCACCACCCATCCCTACAATCCTCCTCGAAGGTTGAAGCGGCAGTGGCCCTGAGACCTTTTGTGAATAAGTATACATTGGAGTTTTGGCAGTGGCCAGATTCTCCACTCAAGCCATGTATGAGTGATTATACAACCTCTGATCAGTCTCCACTGGTACTTAATACCAGTGGGGAAAAAGGCTTGGCTCGGAGATCTTCGGTTAATGATTTTTTATCTATTTCTTTTTAGATATTGAATAGAAGCGTGTGCGTGTATGTGAGTAGTTGTTTTTATTAGTTTAGTTTATTATTGTTCGGTTTAGTTTATATACATTTACTTTTAGGATTATTGGTTTTTCTTTATTATTTATTTTTATTTATTGTTGATAGAGCATAGTGTTGCCCAAAATCGGTCTTGGTCTTGCAAAGTGCAAGACCAAGACCAAGGCCGCCTAACTTCTGCAAGACCAAGACCAGGAATGGTAAAAAAAAAACATTTTTTGAATAAAAATCAGAGCAAAATAGTTATTAATACTTGACAATTTTAGTTACTATACTTAAATGATTGGTGTAACCAATATATATTTGCATTTAACTCCTCTAATTTTTTATTCGGGCTTAGTTGGGTTTCTCCTATCTGAAAAATTACAGCAATATCTCTATAGTAATAAGCTAATAAGTAACTGCAAGACTGTTGCGAGACTCTAGCGCAAGACCAAGACCATGACCATGACTGAGTTTGCAAGACCAAGACTCGTCTCGGCCTCGCATTTGGGCAACACTAATAGAGCATGAATGGGCTCTCTGAACACTATTGTAAATGTCCTTATTTGTGACAGATTGTAATATTTCTCAATAAATATAGTTAAATAAAAAGAACACTATTATAAATATCCTTAACTGTGAAAGGTTGTGATTTTTCTTAATAAATAAGTTTTGAAAACTACATTTTATAACCTATTTCTTGAAGCATGATGATATACATACATATATAAATGTTACAACCGCATATATTTACGTTTATGATCTATTTTGATTGCAGACGTAAGCTTCGAATTTGTTGGACCAGCCTATCATTACTCTTATTGGTTCTTCCTGTTTTTTGCGAATTCAAGCCTAAGCTCGAAACGGATGCACCGTAAATAATTTTTATTATATTTAATTTATTGATGTTACTATAATTAAAGATAAATACATAGTTAATTTGAATGTATCATCTATATAAATAAAATAAAGGTTTTGTCTGTACAATGAATAGAATCAACCCCTTTCATGATATCTTTCCGTTTCATACATTACAGACACCCAATCAACTTTTAAAATTTTATTTGTCTGTCTGTCCGCATTCTCCAACGATTTGAATTTTGAAAATGCAGAAATCACTAGTTCTGGTCACGAAATATTTTTTTTATGATACTTTAGAAAATTTGTCTATAAGGATGAATATTTCCTACATTTCTCTTTTCTTTGAACTGCTATTTTTTGGAACTTTTCCCCCACCATCCATGCGAGAGAGCGTCGCGCCACCTAGCTAGATCTGCTAGTACTGATCACCATAATATATTTTTTTTTATATCACATTAGAAAATTTATCTTCGAGAATGAATTTTTCCTATATTGCTCTTTTCTTTAAATAGCTGTTTACATCATTTTTTTTTTTATTATTTTCCAGCATCCAGAAAAGGGCTCCAGCCTCCTGGCAGAATTTCCTCGTGCTGGTCACGATAAAAATTTTGTTTCATATTAAATTAGTAAATTCGTCTATTAGGTGAATTTTTCATATATTTCTATTTTCATTAAAAAACTGATTTTTGGAATTTGTTTCCAACTTATAAAATATAAAATAACAAACATGAAATATTGAAGATTTACTAATATGAAGCTAATAATATACAGTGTACTAACATTAACCTTTTTTTTTCAACGATTTTCCTCCTTGATCAATCCGCTAAAGCTCAAAATGTTTTTAAAACATTCATTTTATTGGACAATCAATAGTATTATTAGATATTCAGGAAATTCAAATTGACCAAAACGTTCATATTTACGTATTCGATGGGCGGTAGTAATTAATTGATTTAAATGAATATGTTATACAAAATATAATTTTGACTTTCACTTTTCTAGATATGAAAATGTCTATGTCTATTTCTGCTCTAAGTTGGGGGGAGAGGGAGAGAGTGACACCGCTGCAAATTTTCGATCATTTTTTTTTTTTTTTGTTTTAGTGGAAGACGTAGCACAGTTCGCGTGGTCGACTTGCGCACCATTAGTATGGACATGTTCGATCGCAATGGGCAGAACATCTTCAATGCAGCCAAAATGATCCAGTCGGAGCTGGACGAAACGTGGGTGAACATGAAGAAGGTGAAGGAGGTGCAGCACCTGGCCCAGGAGAGCATGGTGAAGCTGAAGAACCTCGACATGGAGTGCAAGGAACGGTCCGCCTCGCTGAAAGACGCTGAAATGAACGACGTCCGGAGGCTCCAGAAGTTGCTAGCTGTGGTGAAGCAGAAAGCGGAAGTGGAGGATAGGATCAACAATCAGCTGGAGGAGATCATGAGCCAGACCACTATAAGACAATAGTCGATGGAACACGATCAGTAAAACAAGCTTTTATCTTGCAAACCTGCATATGTTGTTTTATTTTCTATATTATTAATATATATGTATATATCCCTGTAGGAACTACCACATTATATAACTAATTCTTTCTTCTTGATATTCGATTTATAAGCGACATCACATAGACCTGATTATTCACGCGTTTTATAATCTATTCCATACACTCAATTAGCTACATAATTTACCATGACTTGTAGAGTAACAATTTACGTAACAGATGATTATATTATTAGGTATCTCTCTAGTATTAGTAAAATATCTCTCCAGTTTAACAATTAAGCAATAAGACTAGAGTTGCCCAAAATCGGTCTTGGTATTGCACTTTGCAAGAACAAGACCAGGACTGCCTAAATGTTACAAGACCAAGACCTAGATTGGTAAAATAAATTTGAATTTAAAATAAAAATGAAGGCAAAATAGTTACTAATATTAGACAATTTTAGTTACAAAATGTAAAGAATTGGTATAACTAATATACTTTTGCATTTAACTATCCTAATGTTTCATTCAGGGTTAGTTAGGTTTCCCCTATCTAAAAAAATACTGTAAAATCTCTATGGTACTAGACTAACAGGTAACTGTAAGACCGTTGTGAGATTCATGTGCAAGACCAAGACCTAGACCAAAACTGAATTTGCAAGACCAAGACTCGTTTCGCGGTCTCGCATTTACGAAACATTAAATAAGACACTCGCTCCAGATCTATTTGTTTGGTATAAAAGTGTATTTGTAGTTCTCTCTCTCCTAAATATTTTTTTGTTTATGAAAAATGTAAAAAACAAGTTTTCTATATTATTTGAACTGACTAAGGGAAATTGATCTATCCTTTTCCGTTTACCTTTTCAATAATTTGTTAGTATTTTAAACTATAAATTTAAAGCATTTCTTAATACTATCATAAATAGAAATATTTTAATTTTTAAAACCTATATATGTGATAAGTATCCTATTGGAACAATAGCACCTAAGATGCTTTCAGCAAGAATTAAGATTTATCTCGATCTGTTAGGTCTTGATGACTGCTTCGAAATCTTTAAAACATAATATACCTCATCTCAAATTTTCAACCTGTAATTTCAGCTATAAAAGTTTTTACACCTCCCAATTTTTACTTTCTTACCTATACTTGTTAAGGAAAGTATTGCTATCCGGTCAAATTTCCGATATGCGATTTTCAAGGGATCTTTACATGTCAAAGACCCCTGAGTCTGAAAAATACATTTTCAGCCATTGATCTGTCTGCCTGCCTATCTGTGCCAAGATTATATCAGAAACTAGTTGACAGATTTTGATGCTTCCTTTTTTATTTTGTAGGTTTTTGACTACTAATGCCTGTTAGACAAATTCGGTGCTCCCCGCACAATAGCGGCTGCGCAATAAGTGAAAAACATATTTTTATATAGACTGTAGGACAAAAACGGCTCCAGCCATTTTGATGAAAGGTTATGAAATTCTCTACAAAATTATATAAAAATCGCTTATTTCGGACAACTATTAACGATGTTATAGCTATTCAATTTAGAATTTAAGATTACGATTTCAAATACTGTTACCAGAAAAGCGTGAAAGAGAGAAAAAAATAAAATAGAAAAATCTGGTGTCGGCATCATACAAGTTTTAATTCCTTCTCAACTTTTAACAGAAATTATTGTCTGACAAAATTGGACTGTAGAAAAAAAGTTTTTGATTGGCAATATTAAAGTTTTCAATATTTAAGCTGATCTTTCCCAAGTAAGTTTACATCACTTCAGTTTATCAAAGAAGTCATAGTCAAATCCTTCCTTTGATCAATTTTCAGGGAAATAAATCTAATTAATTTTTTTTTTATTAGTTTAAGATATAAAAACTTTTCTAAAATCGGAAGGAAAGTCGTGTGAGTGGACTAAGCAGATTTTTTCTATTACTTTTATTGTAGATATAGTGTGGTTTTACTTTTATTGTAGATATAGTGTTTATATAAGTCTTTTTGTATCTTTTCTTCGTCATCTGAAAATGCGTCAGATATTTTGGAAGGGATATCATGTTTTGTTCTGGTGTCAGAGTATAGTCTGCAAGTTGCTAAATTTCAGTTTAAGTGATGTGTTGCATGTTTTACAAAATAGTGGTTCCAGGCCTCTCATTAGGTAGCCATGGGTAAAGGCTGCATGTCCAATTCTAAGCCGAGTTAATATTATTTCTTCTTTTCTGTTCTTTCTGAAAGAGGTCGTCCACGGTTTGGTATCTTTTTTAATTTCTTGCAATTTATTCGTAGATTGGTTCCACTTGAATTTCCATTTTTCATTTAGCATTTTTTTGCATTCCAATCTCCAGTCAGCAGTGATCGTTAAATTGATCATTGTGGTTCCATTAGTTTTTCTTCTTGCCAGGTTCGCTGCTCTGTCTGCAGCTTCGTTCCCAGATATGCCACAATGTGAGGGTGCCCATGCGAGGACGATGTCTCTGTCCGGCGACTCCTTCCTTTTCCAGAGGTAGTTTTTGATTTTCCTGCAAATGGCATTGTCGGCTTTCCCTTCGGCAATGGCCATTAATGAGCTTAAAGAGTCTGTAACTATAAGGCCATTTTTATGTTTTTTTCTGTTAATAATAACATGGCCTGATATATGGCGAATAGTTCGCCTGTGAAGACGCTGTTTATTTGAGGAAAATTGAATTTGAGGCACTGGTCTTTCAGTATTACTGCACATCCTACGTCACTCTCTGTTTTTGACGCATCTGTATAAAGGGTTGTGTGTCCGAGGTATTTATGTTTCATTTCTGTAAATAAGTTTTTTTTGACGAATTGGTCGTCGTCAGTTTGTATTTTCCTAGAAACAGACGTATCTATATAGTGTGGTTTTACTTTTATTGTAGATATAGTGCGGTTTTACTTTTCTATTACTCTTATTGTAGATAGAGTGTGTTTTTAATTTTATTGTAGATATAGTGTGATTTTAATTTTATTGTAGAGATAGAGTGGTTTTACTTATCTTTTACTTTTATTGTAGATATAGAATGGTTTTACTTTTCTATTACTTTTATTGTAGATATAGTGTGGTTTTATTTTTCTATTACTCTTATTTTAGATATAGTGTGATTTTAATTTTATTGTAAATATAGAGTGGTTTTACTTTTCTTTTACTTTTATTGTAGATATAGTATGGTTTTACTTTTCTATTACTTTTATTTTAGATATAGTGAGGTTTTGCTTTTACTTACAGTGCCGGCCCAAGGGTGGGACAACTGGGACAATTTTCCCAAAGTGCCAAACTTGGGCGACGGTCGATCTTCGGAGGCGATCGCCTCATGTTAGAAAAAAAAAGTTACAAATCGTATTAAAATAACTAATTTTATTCTATTAATAAAGTAACTGTATTAGAGAAACATTGAATGAAATAAAATTCAAATACTGCATATAAAAAAACTTTAGAAATAAGTTTAATTTTTTTACGTGGAATAGAGATGCCAGATGCCGGCATTGCCCGCGGGCGCCGAATGTCTGAGGCCGGCATTGTTTACTTACCTATGTATAAATACATATAATATATATTAAGGAAAAGCATGGCGATTGTGAAAAAAAAATCGAATCTGAGTTTTCAACGAAAATACACATTTTCCCCAGGGTCCAAATAACCAATTTTCACAAAATGGTCTGTGTCAGTGTGTGATGGTGTCAGAAAAATCCTCCGAAACTGAAATTATGTATTTAAGATATGTGTCTCTGGGTGTTACAGCAACTTTTCAAAATCGTCTAACGTGTTTTACAGCTATTCCAAATTTATTTGAGAGTTCTAAACCATAGTTGAAATAATTTTAAGGCTCACAGTTTTTTCTAGGTAGCCATTTTGAATATACATTTTGACTGAAAACATATTTTCGGATAATGCCTTTGACTCTGGTAATTATGTAAATATCAAACCCCCCAAAAATCTTGAATCATGTTGTGTATTTTTCTACATTTCTGTCTATCAATATATTATCTAAAAGGAAATAAAAGTGGTGTAACGTAAAACGAGACTTTAAGCGAGTTAAAAGTGTAAAAATGAAAAGCGTTTTAATTTTGTTTTCCATATGTAATCCAACCATTGTAATGCTTTCTAATGGAATTCCTATTTTGAAAACCTTGTTCTTCTTTAGACATGAATTTTCAAAAGCCACCAAAAGTTATATTTGGCCATTTTGTATTTTTAATTTCACCAAAAAGACTGTGTAAAAAATTATGAAATTGATACATTGCCTCTTTACATCATACCTCTTTATAATAAGAACGTGCGATACGAATTTGATCACTGAGACTCAACTGGTTCAATTAGTTATAGCGTAACAAATGTTACTGCCTATTTATACCTAGTATAAATCAGGTATTTTTGAAAATATTGAAAAGAAACAAAAACTAAAATTATGATGATGGTTTTGCTCTAATGTTTTTTTCTTCATAATCCAAAAAAAAAAATAATAATAATAATAAGCAGTAAGAAATGTTGTTAATAATGTACGTTTTAGTTACCCGCAAGTGTAAAACAAATTTTTTTTAGCATTATTCGGAATAAGGCATACGTTGAAGACTGAAATGCACTGATTTTGAAAGGCACTGTACCTCAAGATGACACTGCTTTTTACCCAGTTATGCCACTGTTTTTGGGTAATGTTTATTTTTTAATCATGCCATTGAGTCCTTCTAAAACTATCTTTTAAAGAATAAATTGTGAATTCAATAAGGAAAGATAAGATAATCCAATTTATTAAGAACCACTGACTGAGACTAACTTTTTTTATCACTCGTAATCAACCTAAAAGCAATAGGCCTTTGAAGCAGCGCTGAGAAGTATAATCTTTCAACAATTTAACTGAAATCTTCGAAGTCGACTTCTTAACTCAACTTCTCCTCTCTTCGCACCAATATCTTCCCCGTTAGTTCTATCATAGTGGCAATCAAAGGAAGAAGACAAAAGTTAATTTTTAAAAAAACTGCAAATGTATAGGAATCAAATCAGCCATAAGAAAATGTACCTGTTACTTAATCTACTTAATCACCTCAATATATTGTCAGAGAAATTGACGTCTGCAA